GGTTGATCTCCTCCAGGACTGACTGGTTTGATCACCTTGCAGTCCAAGGGACTCGCAGGAGTCTTCTCCAGCACCATTGTGCTTAGCATTTTAAATTTCCTTGGAATCAGAGTATTTTAAATGGTGTGTTTCCTTCTATGGAGGATTAAGCTCCTGAATCTTCCTGTTTGAATTCATTCATGGTAGAATACTATTGCATTTCCTTTCACCAGGCCTAGGATGGACATCCATGTTTCCCAATTCCTTACTAACTCTCCCTTTATCTAATGTGATCTTACTGTCTTTTAGTAGCATTTGCAGTTGTCTATTGCTTCATAGTTTCAACTGAGAGCAGTTGCCATTACAAGCCAGGATCCCTCAATGGGGTGTATTCTAGAATTCTGCCCAGCAAAGCAATAGACATCATGATGAGTCGTGAGTGGAATTGCAACCATTTGTAGAGTCGCCAGTGACTGTGTGGCCTTTGCATAGGGTGTGCAGCACAGAGTGAATTGACTATACCAAACACCAGATTCCACAGAGATCACAGTTTTCTTCTCTTTCTCCACATTGTTCCATTTAGGTCATCCTGCATTTCATGGTAGGCTCTCCTAGTGCAGCAGTGAGTCAGGACCTGGCTCAACTGCTGACTGAAGCTGGCCTGATGAAGAGGTAAGTGTCTTGGGGAGAGACAAGCATTTAGTCTAGCGGTCACCAACTGGTGGTCCCCGAGAAAATCTTGATGGTCTGCAGAAAAATTATTTGCATTTCTTATATGGCACAAAATCAGGGGTCCTCAAACTACAGATACGTGTCAGATACATGCAATGAACACTTGTGTTGCTACAGAGAGTTTCCCCCTTCAGGGTCTTTTTGTGTGGGTCGGAGTGGGGCAGAAATTCTGACTTGGGGTCTGCTTCAGCCTCCTGGTGCAGGTCTTTGGGCAAAGACTGGAGGGAAGTGCTGCTGGTTGTGAAGAGCTGGAAGGCCTTCTTCCAGTAGGACTGCATCATGGCCTGGAACTGGTTGACCATCTCATCCCACTGAGCCTCCAAGTGCCAACCTGGCCTTGTACTCCCTCAGGTCTTCCCTCTGCTTGGAAAGCCTATGCTCATCGTTCTCAGTGAGGTGCTTCTGCTGAGCCTCCTTCTCGGTCAGATCCAATTTGAACTGAGCCAGCTGTTTTGCCAACTCTTTCTCATGGTGGCTGCTTAGCTCCAACAACTGCTTCCTGGTGGGGGACTAAGGAGCCCGGGCACGCAGGCTGGAAGGGGAGGGGCGAGTAGAAGCAGGCGAGGCACCCTCGATGTGAGTGACATCAAGTTGGTCCTGCCCATCCAGTCACATGACCACCTAGCCACGCCCACCCAGCTGATCATTAAGCAGATTATATTAGTAGTCTGTGGGATTTAAAATTATGAATTTAGCGGTCCTTGATGTCTGAAAGGTTGGTGACCACTGATTAAGGTCACCCCCTTCCCAAAGTATCTCCTCCAGCCATAATACAGCCCAGTATCTGTTTTAAGAACAGTAGAGAATTGTCAGATTTGATATCAGGAGAAAAAGAATGGCTGTGCAGAAAGATAGGGCCAGCATTCAGGCAACATTTTTACCCTCTGATCATGATGTACTGCAGACGTTCTCAAACTGTGGGTTAGGACCTTCCGGGGGAGGTGTGTGTGTGTCTTGAGCAACTATGGGACAGGCATCATTTTTGAAACCCTGGTCAGGCTTGTCTAGATCAAGGGTCTCCAAACCTGGCAACTTTAAGACTTGTGGACTTCAACTCCCGGAATTCCCTAGCCAGTCATAAATTCCCAGCCATGAATTTGGAGACTCCTGGTCTAGGTAAAGTGTGGAGACTGGTATTTTGCATGCAGAGAGCAAGAATCCTTGTAAGATTTAGATTTTTAATTCTTAAATGTCAGATTTAAAAACTGGCATATTTATTTCTTGCCCAACCAGGTTTCCAATTATCCTTTTGTTTCCATTGTAGAAAGTTGCAGTACCACAGAAATTAAGTATACATAAATATTGAGTTCATATAATTTGACTTTGGAGAACATCAGAGGTGGGTTGCTCCCAGTTCAGCTTGGTTCAGCCGAACCAGTAGTGGTATTTTGGCCTGTATTGCAGAACCAGCAGCGGCCCAGGCTGGCCACACACCCAAACCGATTACTCAGTCGCCATTGCCGGCATGTTGTTTAGTAGTTCAAGTGCATGCGCAATTCACTATAACATGTTCTGCGCATGCAAAGCGAACCGGTAGTAAAACCAGGAGCAACCCACCTCTGGAGAACATACTGTGTCATAAATTCATTGTCCAAGTTACATTTGCACAAAATCGTAGGCTTATGTAAGATGAGGCTATTTGTGTGTCACATTGCAATAACTCATATCCCTGAGAACAAGGGATGGTGAAACAAGCGATTGGGGGACAGGCACAAGGGAAAGATGGGAGGGAAAGCAATTAGTACACACACACCATCAGTGCAATAGATGGAAACGAATCAGGGAGAGACACAATATAGACATAAGGAGAAATTTCCTGACAGAACAATTAATCAGTGAAACAGCTGATCAGTGAACACCCCCTCCCCCCCAAAGTTGTGGGTGCTCCAACACTGCAGGTTTTCAAGAAGAAATTGGACAACCATTTGTCTGAAATGGTCTAGAGTTCCCTGCTTGAGCAGGGGGTTGGACTAAATGACCTCCAAGGTCCCTACCAACTTTTTTATTTTGTCAGGCATTAACACTCACATAGTGGCAGGATGATGCACAGCATATCAGTCTCCTGTAGCATCAGGGAACCCTAGCCACCATCAGTGTAAATCATGTGAAAATTGGGTACAACTTTGCAAAACTAAGAATTGTTTTTTCTTTTCTGGATTTTTTTCTTGAGTTACTCTGCTTCTTCCTAGCAGTGAGCCTGGGGAACCTCCCTGCATCACATCCTCTGGCTTCCAGTTCCTGTTGCTGGATACTTCATCACAGCTGTGGTACTTCATGCTCCAGTATCTCCAGTCAGCAGAGGTGAGGAGAAACAATGAAATGACTGCTTGCCATCTCGGCTCTAGTTATTCTGCCCATTTCTTGTTTCTACTTCTAATTCCCCTTTTTGCATCATTCTACAGACCAGGGGCATGGACTTGGTGGAGATTCTTTCCTTCCTCTTTCAGCTCAGCTTCTCCACACTTGGCAAGGTGAGAAGGAACTTTATCTATCAGTAACATATGTTGGTGAGAAGTTGGGCTACATATCAAGACAATAACTGGCTTCAGATTTGAACAGGGGGCTTCCAGTTAGAATCTTTGTGGCTCTTTTAGGGTTTAAGGTTGCTTACCTTAAAGATTAGGGGAACCGTGGTCTTTAAACTAACCCTAATTAAAGTCTCACATCTAGATTGCACACATTATTCAATTATTAAGCCAAATAATAGTCTCTGATGTTGAGCGGCACAGGGTCTTACAAGCATAGAACCTAGAAAATTGGAGCAGTTGGCCGAAAAGAAGACATAGTGCATTTGCTAAATGCTTAGTGTAAATTATGATGTCACAACCATAGCTTAATTGTTTAGGGAACAAAGCATGAATGATATGTGCCCAGAGCATTCATCCTTTAGTAAGTGCATCTTCCATTGATGACTCTTACAGGTAAATCAGCAGAAGAATTTGTTCATGGCCTCTCAATGTGATTTGATTGCCTATTCATTTACTGACCAATCAAGATATTTGTGCAATGTACTTGTCTATCAACAAATTATTTTCCAATTTCTTTATTCTCAGGATTATTCTGTGGAAGGAATGAGTGATTCTCTTCTGAACTTTCTGCAGCATCTCCGGGAATTTGGCCTGGTGTTTCAAAGAAAGGTACAACACAGTAGGGGGATTATATGAGGAGCTGAACCAGAGTATTAAAAAACACAAATTGTCAGATGTTAGAGGTATTAAGGACTTCTTCAAGGAACTTGTGAGCAAAAATGGTAGGTTAGCCTTCTGAAAGATGAATTGTCAGAGAGCTCTGAACTTTCCACAAACTGGTTGCCAATGTCTTTCCTTCTTTCTTTGCAGAGAAAATCCAGACGTTACTATCCCACCCGCTTAGCTATTAATCTTTCCTCCGGCATCTCAGGTACCACCGTGGACACCCATAACCAAGGCTTTATTGTGGTGGAGACCAACTACAGGATCTATGCATACACAGGTCTGAAACCATGCTGATTTCCTTTCTTCAGAGGCCCATCCCTCTTCTAATTCAGAATTAGGAATCAGTGCCTCCATTTTTTTAAAATATCTCTTGGTTGTATAACACGATGCTTCCAAGATTTTGCTTTACTGATGGGAGAAGAGTATTTAGCCAGGATTGCTTTCTTCATTTGACCTAGGACAATATTTCTCAAATTGTTGGCTGTCTTGATATACTGTATTTTTAGGAGTATATGACACACCAAGATTTTGAAGAGGCAAGTTAAAAAAAAAAGTTTTTGCACTCTGCAGACCTCCCAAAAATGGCCCGTTTTTTCCGAAAATGGGCCCATTTTTTTCAAAAAAAAGGGTATGCATACCCTTTAGGAGGCTTATAGAGTGCTCCGGGGACCTGGGGGTGGGGGGGCAAAAGTGAGCAAAAAATGGCCCGTTTTTCGCTCATTTCTGCCCTCCCCAGCCCCCAGGAGCACTCTGGAATCCTCCTAAAGGCTACGCACAGACATTTTGGTGAAGGGGGCGGGGTTTCAGGAGGCAAAAAATGCTGTATTCAGTGTATAAGATACACCCAGATTTTCAACCTCTTTTTTTGAGGGAAAAGGGTGCGTCTTATACTCCGAAAAATATGGTAATTCAACTTCTGAAAGAAAATGTGGGGACCGGCCCATTAAATACAGCTGCCTCCCCCTAGCTAGGTTTTTGTCTTTAAAAGCAGGGGAGTTCCCATTCTTTGAAAATACTTACTTTTCATCCCTCTGTTTGAAAAGGCATAGTTTCGATTAAATTTCCACAAACACGAGGAAATGTATGACTAGTTTTTCTGTTCCTTTTCTTTTTTTCCCTAATTACTTGCATAGGGATTATTCTTTATACTATTTATGTTGTTTGTATTTTTGGTCATGGATTGCACCAGTGAGGCTAAAACCAATTTTGTTGTATCTACATGATGCACGATGACAATAAAGGGTATACTACATATCAAAAGATATAATCCAAAATTAAGTATTTCATTTGCCCCTTTGGGTGGGGAGGGAGGGGCAATAATGGCTGAGGGATTCTGGGAATTGTAGTCCACACATCTTAAAAAGGCTAAGGTTGAGAAACACTGAAGTATTTAAAGCAGAGATCCCCAACCTTTCTGGGTTGGCAGCACGGCGGGGAGGGGCAGGCACCTTTACGCACACATGGGCACGTGTGAACGGTGGCCCAAGCACGCGAACGGAGCCACAAGCATGTACACAACGCTAGTGCACGCAACACAACACTAGCGTGAGTGAGGAAATTGTGCATGTACATACACACGCGCACAGGCCAGCCACTCATGCAGCCCAGTAGCCAACAGGTTGGGGACCCCTGATTTAAAGGACACCGGACTGGGGAAAGCTGCTTGCCTATTTTAAAGCAGTGTTTCTGAAGCTCGGCCACTTTTAAGGCATGTGGACTTCAACTCCCAGAATTCTTCAACCAAGCCCCACTGGCTGGGGAAATATGGGAATTGAAGTCCACACACCTTTGAAGTGGCTGAGCCTGAGAAACCTTATCTAAAAATGTTGTATTTCCCTCTCTCTGTGTGTGTTTGAAGAAATGTCCTTCCAGATTCAGTTCCAAGTGGGGGAAATGACACTGGAAACATGGTGGCTGTTTGGAAAGATGATTTAACAGTGGACAGGATCACATGGCTTGAAGATGTTGGGTGAAGAAAAAAGGACAGAGATGCTGATAGGGCTTGACTTTTATACCCTCTCTGGGCTTTTGAACTTGAGCTTGTGTTCTGATTGGTTGTCAGACTCCCGTGTGGCCACGCAGGGGCAACTCTGTAGGCTGTCCTGAGTCCCAGGCTTGGTTGAGCTTTGCTGGGTGATGTAATCTTCCCAGGTGCCATGTGGTGAGATAGGTAGAGGGCTAATCCTATCATGTCCTGAGGCCCATGTCTTAATCCCATCATCCTGGAGCTGAAGGGAGAGGGGCAGGGAGGGGCAGGAAGCTGCTTTGTTTTTAAAACTTGTTTCTCCTTTTCTCATCCAGGGAAATATAATGTTCTACCTTTTTAATATTTCCTAAAATATTTCATTCTTCTGGAGGGGGAGGGGGTGCTAACTTTCTACATGTGCTTACTTCCAGATTCAGAACTACAGATTGCATTAATTGCCCTCTTCTCTGAGATGCTGTATCGCTTCCCTAACTTGGTGGTGGCGCAAGTCACCCGGGAGAGCACACAGCAGGCCATTGCCAACGGGATCACGGCCGATCAGGTGAGGATAGGTTTAAAGGGGACTTCGGAGTCGTGCTCTGCTTCTCCCGGTTGGTTGGATGGGGATTAAAACTTTAATTACGAAGTCTCAAATGTACCCAAGATTCATTATCCTCTTTTGCTACAGATCATTCACTTCCTACGGACACGAGCTCACGCCGTGATGCTGAAACAGGTGAGGAAATGGCTACAGGAAATGAAGGGAGACAATCCCTGGGGGATTAGGGCATCCAAGAAAAACGTTGCCCTTTGTAACAATGTATTTGTTGTTTAATAAAGCTGGTGCAATATTAATGCTAGCTTAAGGAACGCAGCAGCCAAGCCATCCCAAACCGCATCGCCAGAAATTAAGTTCTTAAAAATATATTAGTCTTGCGACAGTTAAAAAGTTGACAGTTATTGGCAACCCGAACCTTTTTTTTTTAGTTTGTAAAATTGATTGGTCACCCATGTTGCCATAGGATAAATCTGGGCAGCTTAAAAAGTATCTTAAAAAGATACTATACAAAACCTAGGAGGGATGCGGTGGCTCAGTGGCTAAGACGCTGAGCTTGTTGATCAGAAAGGTTGGCAGGTCAGCGGTTTGAATCCCTAGCGCCGCATAACAGAGTGAGACCCTGTTAATTGTCCCAGCTTCTGCCAACCTAGCAGTTTGAAAGCATGTAGAAATGCAAGTAGAAAAATAGGAACCACCTTTGGTGGGAAGGTAACAGCGTTCCATGCGCCTTCGGCGTATAGTGATGCCGAGACATCTTCGGACAGTGCTGGCTCTTCGGCTTTGAAACGGAGATGAGCATCGCCCCCTAGAGTCAGGAATGACTAGCACATACGTGCAAAGGGAACCTTTATCTTTACCTTATACAAAACCTATAAGATATAAATAAAACAATGTAAAGATCCTATAAAATTATGTATAAAAGAAGATTGCTAAGCCTTCTGGAGAGGAAGCCCAATAAAGGACTTAACATGATCCCAAATATGAAATATGGATTAAAACAGCGGTCTCAAACTTTTCCGGCTTGGTACCCTGTGCGGGGGGGGGGGATGGTTGTCCATGAGTGGGGGGCCTGCACCCAGCTCCATTTGTGCGAGCGGGGCGGGGGGGTGCACACACCCATCAGACATGAGAGGGGAGCTTCGCACCCGAGTGCAAACTCCCATCGCTCATGCAAGGGGAGCTGTGCGCACAGATGCGCTTGTCTGATGCTTTTCGCAGCCTGGTTACAGACAGGCCGTGGCCCAGTAGTAGGCCATAGCCCCGGGGTTGTGGATCCCTGAATTAAAAGGTTCTGTTCTGACCTAGGCTTCCCAAGAGCATGATGCAAACTCCTTGTCCTGACAAAAATCCCTTTTATTAATTTACTGTAAATTCTGCTCATTCAGTAAAGTCTTTCGAGGGAGGATTTACAGTCACAGACCTTATCTGGCTTGGAGAGCTGACAGGCTGATATCTGCAAAACGTGGCAAGGAGCCTTGGAGAGTCACAAACCAATTAAACGAACTAATTGTCTCCTGCAAACTCCACTCCCCTTTCGCTCCTCTTTTATTTAGTCTGGGAGGGGCCATTCACCGTCCACCTGTGGCCTTACTCCCAAGTCGACCCCTGTTCCTTAGCTGTTCCTTTGTCTGGCAACTGTGCATGGGCACACTGGGAACAGGCTCCAGCTGTTCTTCTGCCTCACTGATGTCTGACTCTGAAGGCAGCTGATAACTGGCATACAGCTCTGGCCCCCTGTCTGCCTCCGACACAGAGCCCTCATCAGAGCCTTTCCCAGACTCCAGGACTGACCCATGTTCCTTCCCAACCTCCTTACTGTCCGAATCTGCTGCTAACTCCGCTGGCAGGCCACCACCACAGGTTCAGGGAAAGTAGGGATTGGTCAATTCTAGAGGACAATGCAATTGGGAGATTGTTTTCTTTGCTCTTTAGCAAATAGATATTTTGCCATCTCTAACTTTTCCACTCTCCTC